TCTAGTTTTAGCCTTCACAGCCTCCTGCAGCAAGGAGTTCCACAGGTTGACTCTTTGCTTTGTGAAGAACAACTTTCTGTTACTAGTTTGAAGTCTGCTACCCATTCCTTTCCTTTGGTGTCCTCTAGTCCTTCTTTATGGGAACTAATGAAGAACTTTTCTTTATGCATCCTCTCCACCCCACTCATGCTTTTATAGACCTCTATCCTATCCCCCCTCAGTCTCCTCTTTTCTAAACTGAAAAGTCCCAGTCTCTTTAGCCTCTCTTCATATGGGACCTGTTCCAAACCCCTCATCATTGTAGTTGCCCTCCCCTTTCTCTTCCCCTCTCCCACCTCCTTTTCCCAGTCTCCCCCAGTTTTGTTCAATAAAGAGAGATTCTATTTTTGAACACAATTGTCCTTTATTTTGTACATCAGGAAGGGGGGCTAGGGAGGGGTAAGTGGAAGGAGGTGAGGGAGGAATGGGGTACGAGCCCCCGATGGGGAGGACTGGGCTGGCTCTGCGGGCTTCTGGGGGTGGAAGCTCTCCTGCAGCCCCCCAATTGCCCCCTGTCCCCAGATGGCAGCCTGCGGCAAGTGCAGCCGGTCTGACGGCCGAGTGCTGTGATGTGCCCAGTGTGGGCACTCCGGGCAATCCAAGCCAGGACTGCTTTGCAAGCGGGGCACCCCTGAGAACTGTCTGTCAGGGGTGGGGGTCGGGTTCCTTTAAGCACAGCCCTCGGTTAGCCTGAGACAGCAGCTCCATGCTCTAAGTCCTCATCTGATGCCCTGCTGGTACTGCTTCCAGCCATCCTTTACTGTTCAAATTAGAAAAACGTTAATTCGAACTAGTTTTTTAGTCTGGATGCGTTAGTTCGAATTAGCTTAGTTCGAATTAACTAATTCGAACTAAGTTAGTTCGAATTAGCGCTGTAGTGTAGACATACCCTATATGATTACTAAATTCGACTTAAGAACTCCTAATTTAACAAATTCAAACTAGCATTTCCTCACTACGGGGAAGAATCAGAATTAGTCTGAGGCAGGCTCTGTTGATGTGGACATGCTACCTCATACTTAGAGCAGCAGGAAGCACCCTGGGAAGCTGTGGGAGGCCTCCCAGAGACCAATTAGTTTGAATTAGCGGCACGGAAGTGTCCACAATAACATTATTTCAGAATTAGCATTACTCCCTGTAACAAGCGGAGCACAGAGTTAGAATTCTGTGTCCTGTTATTTCCAAATAACGGGGTTGGTAAATTTATTTATTTACCTTTTTCTTATAAATTCAAACTTGGGGGGGGGGTATTATTTTGGAATAAGGTTCTAACATAAGCCAGGGCAAAATAACAAACCCACACTGAGCAACTAGCATGTCACCCTGCTAGTTTGTAGCATAATTAATCCAGTCTGAGTTAACCTGCTTTTAACCACTGTAAACCACAATCCTTTCCCAGATTTAGGAGTAAAAGCCATGATTCCTTATCATGAATATTTGACAGCTGACAAATTAATACTGGCATAACCCATTGAGAAGGCTATTTTCCTTCTCTGTTAGCTGGTTTAAATTTCAAAAAGGATTTAAGTTGGACATGGGATGCTTAGGTGTTTAAATCCTGCTGCTGATCCACATGGATGGTGACTGCCTTTACATTCTGGGTTTGTACATCAGTTAGCAAGGTGGGGGCCTTGTGACTGTGGTGTTAGGTGCTACCACTATGCAAATAATAAGAGCAGTCTGGCGTTATGGAATTGACAAAGTGAAAAGCCAGTTTTAAAACAGGATTTCTATTTTAAAAGCATGATAATCTGTACATTGTGGTGTGAATCACCTAATACTCTGACTGAGCTACTTGGCTGGCTGGATCTGGAGCAGTGGGAAGGGTCTCAGGGACCGGTGAGGTCCTACAGGATAGTTCAGATGCTTCATCCCCACCCACCTTCCCCATAACAGTAACCCAGAGACATGGAACCATCCCAGAGGAGTGTGACCAGGAAGGACCAGGCATCAGGAGGGGAGCAGATCCAGGGTCATAGTTTGCCTGTGAATGAATCTCTGGTTCTAAAGGATCTCAGCTCTCAGGAACACATCCCCGTGCAAGTGGCTGGGTTTGTAGGACACAGAACTGCTGTAGAGCTCCCCGTGTGACAGCCTCCCACTAGCAGCTTCCTTCCCAGCAGTGAGATGGTCATTGCTCCAACACTCCCAGGCTTAGGTGAGGTGGATCTGGCACATACCCAGAACAGCAAAGCCAGGCGGTTATCAATCAGGCTCTGACACAGGACAAGCTGAATCTGGGTAACTGACTCTTGCCTGGCACAGTTCTCTGAGCTCTTGCAGAGAAGGAAACAGGGCTTCTTGAGCCAGAAATATGCAAATGAGGCTAAGTGTAGAATATCGCTGCACCTCATTTGCATACCTAATGAGCTGCCATTTTTGCAGAAGAGGCTCTTGTGCCAGAAGGAGCTGTCTCCACTGCCCCTTCTTGCGCAACAAAAACCCTCTTGTGCAATGCCATTATTCCTGAAAAGTAATAGGTGTAACGGCATTGCGCAAGAGGGTTTTTCTTGCACAAGAGGGTTTTTCTTGTGCAGTGTAGACAGATCCTTCTTGCGCAAGAACCTTTGCCACAAAAATGGTGGCTTATTAGGTATGCAAATGAGGCTCGGCGATATTCCACGCTTAGCCTCATTTGCATATTACTCGTGCAAGAAGCCGCGAGTGTAAACATAGCCGAACTGTGCTTCTGGGATGGCTACAGCAGCTGTCTCCCTCTTGCCAGGTGATGGTAACAGACATTTTGCTCTGTACGGCCTAGGTCCTATCCTAGCATGCTACACCTCACCAGGATTACCCAAAATGGGAAGCAGATAAGAAGAGCTAGTAGAACTTGTTCTTTAGCACAAAGGGATGAGTCCTTTGTTGCGGCATGACAGATCTCGGTTCAAACCCTATTCATCGCCCCTAATAGAAGCCCTTTGTAACAAAGTTTCCAAAGGGGTCCACACAGTGGGCCTATAAAGGGGTCCTCCCCCTCAGGAGTGCCCTTGGCCCTCCAGGGCTTCCTGCCCCTAGTCTAACCTGAAAATCCTGCAACAAGTTTGTAACCGCTCCAAGTCACACAAAAAGCCCAACAAGGGATGTGAGGGGGACCTATTCCCTCCCTCTCTCCAGGTCCTAACCCAGGGCCCTAAGGTGGGGAGTTGCTTCCTGCACCTGGCTGATGGGGCCAGCCACCTCAACTCGCCAGCCTGCAAGCAGGATTCCTTCAGCCCGCCCTGGGTCACTTCCTCAATCTCTCAGCTACCTGCTCGGGTGCACTCTGCTCTGGGGTCACCCACCTAGTCTGTCACCTGTTCTGTTGGAGACACCGGCCCCTTCCTGAGCCAGCCATCCCCCTTTTATGGGGCTCCTTATCCTTTCCCCTCTCCAGCCACCCCGCAGTCCCATGCTTCTGGCCCCCGTGAGCATCCCTGCACCGGCACCTTAAGGGATGCCCCTAGTGTGCCTGTGCTCGCGTTCTCTGGGCCCGCGTCTAACGCACCTGCGCCTGCGCCAGCACTTCCCTGATGCTGGTTGGCATCCGCCATCTTCCCCGCTGCCGGGTGGAAGCCCGGCTCTCTGTCCGCTCCTTTCCCTGGGAATTCAGTGCGGGGTTCCTCTATCCTGTTGCACCCTTGTTCACGTTAACATCGTGATAGCTTCTTAGATGTCATTGGGGCTCTTCTACGCTGTGTATCCTGTCTCCCATTGAAATAACTTGCATGGTATTGCACTGAATCTTAGAGGCCTGGGCTCTGTGGCATGGCCTGCTAATCAACCCACAGTGCAACACCGTCAGGGACAGGAATGGCAGCTTGGTGGTGGTGATAGGAGGGGAGCAGATCCAGGGACAGGGGAGCATCATCAGTAAGGGCTGAGCTGCAAGATGCCCAGGTATCCCAGCAGCACCTAAACGCCTCCCAGGTGACTGAACACTGGCTCTGGGTCCTGGGCACATCATAGCTCTGCCAGGTTAATATGTGACAGGTGCCCTGATGCTTTCACTTTCCCTTACTCAGAGTTCACACACTGCTCCAGGATCCATTTCCCTGTCTGCCCCAGCACATCTATTCAGTTCCTGGAGTGCTGTATGGCACCAGGACCCCTGGCTCACTGCCTGGCATTCTCTGGGACACACTGAAACTTTAAGGTAAGTCCCTTTCTATTATTATCCCTGTTCCTTCGCTCTCAAGGGCTACTCACACTCCTGACCCCCAGAAGCAAACTTCCCCCTACTACAGGCTGTTCTCACCTCTTGTTAGTACTTTGAAGTAGGAATAAGAGATCCTCCAGAAAAGGGCTTTTTTCCGGAGGATCGGGGCCAGTGTAGACACTCTTTTCCGGCTTTTCTAAAAGCCGGAAAAAAGCGGCGGACATTTTTATTTAAATGCCGCGGGGGATATTTAAATCCCCCGCGGATTTCCCTATTACGACCTGTGAAATTAACATGCCCCTTTCGGAAAGGGGCCAGTGTAGACGTAGCCTATGTGGGTAGGACACAAGGTGGGCTCTGGCTAGCCTCACATTGCTTGGGGGAGGGGTGCCAGGCCACAAGCGTCTGTGTGTGGTGGGAGGATCATTTGGCTCAGAATTCAGGCATCTCCCTTGTAGTTATTATTGGCACAATCTCAGCTGAGATTGAAGCCCCATTGCAGGCTGCTGCCCAGATCACAACTGAGCAGGGCTGTCCTCTTTCCCAGGCTACTGTGTGGGGGCTCAAGCCAGTTCTGTGTGAGATGAACCCCTAGGCTATGTCTACACTAGTGGCTTCTTGTGCAAGAAAATGTCCACACTGCCATGTGCGAGCTGTGCTTTTGTGCAAGAGCATCCATGGCCATGTGGACGCTCTCTTGCGCAAGAAAGCTCTGATGACCATTTTAGCCATAGGGCTTTCTTGCGCAACAAATTTCTGCTGAGCGTCCACATTGCCCTCTTGCGCAAGAGCTCCTGCGCAAGAAGGCTTACACCTGTTAAAAAAGAGCGTAGCACTTGCATAAGATGCCCTCTCTTACCACGCCATCCTGTACATCTTCTTGCGCAAGACCAGGTGGGCAGTGTGGACATTTTCTGGAAGAACAGCTGTTCTTGCATAATAACCCGCCGGTATAGACATAACCCTAGATATTGAACCCGGCCCTGGTTGCTGCCAGGCCTAACCGGCGGAAGGGTTACACATGTAACAGCAGGGTTCGGTCCTAGAGAGGGCAAATGCTCTGCCTGCAGCACAGTCTGAGGGAGCGGATTGGCTGCTGGGGTCTCTGGGAAGGGAAGGGGACGGGGTAGGAGTGGAAGAGCAAGTCAAGCATAGGGGCACCAGTTTAATAATCCCGCCTAGGGCACCATAAATCCTAAGGACGGCCCTGCAACTGAGATTAGTTTCCACTATGCAGGGTGCAGCAGCAACCCTGATGGAGATCTGAACCCTCCTTGTGCTGGGTGCAGCACAGACTGTGACATAGGCCTGGGCCTCCATTCTCCCATGCACTGCACAGATCCTGACTGAGATCAGGGCCCTGTTGTGCTGGGTGTGGCACATACAGTCTGTCAGAGATTCTCATTGTCCCAGAGCTCTTAGTCCAGCACATTAGGGCTGTGTCTACACTGGCCACTTATTCCAGAAAATCAGCCGCTTTTCCGGAATAACTTGCCAGCTGTCTACACTGGCCGCTTGAATTTCCGGAAAAGCACTGACGATCTAATGTAAAATCATCAGTGCTTTTCCGGAAAAACTATGCTGCACCCGTTCGGGCAAAAGTCTTTTTCCAGAAAACTGTTCCGGAAAAGGGCCAGTGTAGACATCATAGTAGTGTTTTCCACAAAAAAGCCCTGATCGTAAAAATGACGATCGGGGCTTTTTTGCAGAAAAGCGCGTCTAGATTGGCCACAGACGCTTTTCCGGAAAAAGTACTTTTGTGGAAAAGCATCCTGCCAATCTAGACGTGCTTTTCTGGAAATACTTTTAATGGAAAACCTTTTCCTTTAAAAGCATTTCCGGAAAATCATGCCAGTGTAGATGTAGCCCATGTGTAGCTGAGCCTAGTTGGGCTCAGACTCTTTCAGACCTTGTCTCCATGGGACATTACACTATGCTAGAACGCATGGTCTGGTTTGGTCTGTTAGAACACAGGTCTGATCCGTGCTGGAGGGGCATGTGGTGTTAAGTAACGTATCCACTATCAGACCTAGTCATGCCTCATGCACAGGAACAGCTCCCCACCAAAGTTCACAAATCCACCAACTTCCTCACTTCAAAGTGCCTCCTCAGAGCTACCTCTGCCATGGGGCCTATAGCCCACTGCCTTTTGATGCTGGCCAAGGAAGTAGCCAGCTAAGACTCTGCTTCCCTGCTATGCTCTTTTCTGTATTGTTTTCTCACTGCCGCTCCCCGCACAATCCATCACCTATTGTTTGTCTGTTTCACTGGTTGGCTTTCTCCTGCCTGACTTTTAGACAGTAAACTCTCTCAGGGTATGTCTACACTACAAAGTTAGTTCGAACTAACTTTCATAGGCGCTACACTAGCGCTCCGTTAGTTCAAACTTAATTCGAACTAACGGAGCACTTAATTCGAACTAGGTAATCCTCATTCCACGAGGATTAAGCCTAGTTTGAACTTACTAGTTCGAATTAAGGGCTGTGTAGACCCTTAATTCGAACTAGTGGGAGGCTAGCCCTCCCCAGGTTTCCCTGGTGGCCACTCTGGCCAACACCAGGGAAACCCTTCTGCCCCCCTCCGGGCCCCGGACCCCTTAAAGGGGCACGGGCTGGCTACGGTGCCCGTGCCAGGTGCAAGCCTGCCAGCACCCAGCTAGCAGA